CAAAAGCAGGTCTGAGACTGGAATCTCACCTCCTGACTCCCCAGAGTCTGTCCACCATCTGCAAGGCACACGTCAGGAGAATGATAGAAAACACCACACTTGCCTGAATGAGTGCAGCTCCAACAACATGCCAGAAGCTTGACACAATGTGGAGCAAAGCAACCCTCTTGATGGGCATTCCATCTAACACCTTCAACATGCAGTCCCTCTGCCACTGATACTCAGTAGTAACAGTATTTACCATTTACAAGAGGCAGTGCAGCGACTCACCAAGGATCCTTGGACAACATGTTCCAATCCTGCAACCTCTATGACCCAACACAACAATAGCAGCAGACACATAGGAAGACCACAACTTGCAATTTCATGGCCAAATCACAGACCATCCTGACTTGGAAATATATCATCTTTACTTCATTAATAATGGAACTCCCTTTCTCACAGCATTGTGGATGTACCTACACCACATGGACATCAAAGCAGCTCACTATCACTTTCCCATGGGCTATTAGGGATTGGCAATAAATGCCAACCTAGTCAAAGATTCCCCAATCCTTAAAAGAATGAATTTAAGAAAAGTGAAGTCTTAAATTCAAATGATTGAGAAATTGCAGTCCATTCCAATAACACTCCTCAGTGTTGTGGTCACTAATGCTCATTCAAACTAAATATAGTCAACTCACCATAACATCGAACCTGGAGCCTGAGGCACATTACAAATCTAAGTGCTTTATGTAATGCTTTTATTTGGTTTTGTCTTTTTGCTCAGATTGAGTTGCTGAATGAACGATTAGACAGGTAGAATGAAGATTTGCAAATGAGCTATTTTTATCCGTGCTTCCACAGCCTGGATCAAGGAGAATATTTTCTGGTCAAATAAGTGGACATTTACATGCACCAAGCATGTTTCCCCATAATGTACCTCTCCCTGCCCTTAGCATTTCACTAAAAGCCTAAGCGTGACTTGCTTTCAGAGTGAGAGCCTCACTAGCTAAGGCTATAACTCTCACCCAGATTTCCTGCCCATGCTCACAGTCTTCCAGCTAAAAATTATCCCAGCAGTTCCTGGTCCGTTGTGGTTCAGAAACACACTTGCCTCAAAACATTGGGCCCTGTCTGGGAAGAAATGTCTCACATTTTGATGCAACTTATGCTAGGTCTTTATAAATCGCTCAGTAGATTTCAGGTGGAATGTTGGGCCCAAGTCTGGAGGCACACTTTATAAAAAAAGCTAAGGCCCAAGAGGTACAGAGATTTGCTACAGTTGTCTGAGGATGAAGGAATTCAGAATGGGTTGATCGGTGAAGCTGAGATTATTACGGTCAGAGCAAAAAGGTGAAGGGGAGATGTGACAGATGAACTTCATTGGAGTAAATAAAGAGAAATGCTTTCTCACTGCCAAAGGTTCAGTGGCCAAAGGATAGAGGTGAAAGGTGGCTGGGAGCAGATTTAACAGCAGCATGGAAGATTAGTTTTTGTTAAAGCAGACCATTTTCTTGGTGATCTGGAACATGCTATCTGAATGAGTACTGGAAGAAGATTCAAAAGCAAATTTCAAAGAGGAATTGTTTGTACCCTTGAAGGCAAAGGAGATTACAATGCCATGTGGGAAAAGCAGGGGATTGGGACTAATTGGAAAATCTTTCAAAGAGCTAAACCAGAGGCAATGGACTGAATGTCTTCTCTGCATGCCATTATACAAATTAGGTCTGTTTTCTCTAGAATTTAGAAGGTTAAGGGGTGATCTGATTGAACTCTTCAAGCTAATTTAGATAAATGTGAGGTGCTGCATTTTGGTGTGGCAAATCAGGGCACGAATTATACACTTAATGGTAGGGTCCTGGGCAATGTTGTTGAACAAAGAGACCTTGGAGTGCAGGTTCTTGTTCCTTGAAAGCCTTTATTGGTCAGTGCATTGAGTATAGGAGTTGGAAGGAAATGTTATGGCTGTACAGGACATTGGTTAGGCCACTGTTGGAATACTGCTTTCAATTTTGCATGTGTGGGGATGAATGGCCTACTCCTTTAATTAAGAAACTTGTGGTGATCAGATCTGCAAAATGACAGGGGACAATAGTTTGAAGAAGATGCATGAAGGATAAGATATTGCACTCAACTAAAATGGTTTGATAAATAGGAGAATGTCTTTGCAAAAGGTCATTTGAAGAGCAATTTGGAGCTCCATTGGCTGGGAACATGGGTGATTGAAAATGTAGGGGTCAGCTGAGACCTCTCTCTGTCACATGCGCACTTCTTACGCTCTGTTTTCAGGTAGCTCTGGGATGGCTCACTCAGCAGTGTTCATTGAGTTGTCTCCAGTGTTTACATCATGTTGAGAATTGGAATCTACAACCCACTCATCATACAACTCGTAACAGACATTCTTGCTATTGAGGGAGTCCAGCACAGGTTCACCAGACTGATCCCAGAGATGGCAGGACTGACATATGAGGAAAAACTGGATCGACTGGGCTTGTACTCACTGGAATTTAGAAGTATGAGGGGGGATCTCTTGGAAGCATATAAAATCCTGATGAGACTGGATAGGTTAGATGTGGGAAGAACGTTCTCAAAGTTGGGGAAGTCCAGAACTAAGGGTCACAGTCTAAGAATAACTCCTCAAAGAATGACTCCCCAAAGCCAGTCCACCATCTGCAAGGCACAAGTCAGGAGTATGATGGAATACTCCCCACTTGCCTGGATGAGCGCAGCCCCAACAACACTCAAGAAGTTTCACATCATCCAGATCAAAACTACCTACTTTATTGGCACTACATCCACAAGTATCCACTCCCTCCACCACCAACGCTCAGTAGCAGCAGTGTGTACTATCTACAAGATGCACTGCAGAAATTCACCAAAGATCCTCAGACAGCACCTTCCAAACCCATGAACACTTTCATCTAGAAGGACAAAGGCATCAGATACATGGGAACACCACCACCTCCAATTTGCCCTCCAAGCCACTCACCATCCTGACTTGGAAATATATCACCGTTCCTTCACTGTCGCTGGGTCAAAATCCTGAAATTCCCTCCCTAATAGCATTGTGGGTCACCCCACAGCAGGAGGACTGCAGAGGTTCAAGAAGGCAGCTCACCGCCACCTTCTCAAGGGGCAACTAGGGATGGGCAAGAAATGCTGGCCCCGCCAGCGATGCCCGCATCCCACAAATGAACAGAAAAAAATAAATAATGGGTAAGCCATTCAGGATGAAGATGAGGAAGAACTTCTTCACTCAGAGAGTTGTGAACCTGTAGAATTCTCTACCATAGGAAACTGTTGGGGTCAGTTCATTAGATATATTCATGAGGGAGCTGGATGTGGCCCATGTGGCTATAGGGATCAAGGGGTATGGAGAGAGAGAGGGAATGGGATTCTGCGATTGCATGATCAGCCATGATCATATTGAATAGTGGTACAGGCTCAAAAGGGCTGAATGGCCTACTCCTGCATCTATTTTCTATGTTTCCATGTTTCTATGATTGCAAGCAATCAATGCTTTTAGCAGATGACAGCACTACAGCTTTTATTGATACAGCACATTGAAAACGTTCAAAGGCAACTCACAGAAGCTTTAGACAACAAGCCACATAAAGCAACTGGGCTGGATGATCCAAAACTCCAAGGTTTCGATCTTAAGGAGTGTCATAAAGGAAGGAAAATGGTTGAGAGATGGAGGAAACACCAGAGCTTGGGCCCCAGGCAGTTGAAGGCCTGGTCACCAATGTTAGAGCAATATTTCAGTACAGAGATGTATGTGAGAGCTTTGATAAAAGCAAAAAGTTACGTGGATGCTGGAATTCTGAAACAAATTCAGAAATCTGGAGAAACTCAGCAGGTCCGGCAGCATCTGTGCGGAGAGAGACAGGGTTCATGTTTTGAGGCTGGTGTGACTCATTTTCAGGGAAGAAGACCCCTCTGTCCAGTGTGACACTTCTTCAGAACAGCCTTCTTCTCTGAAGCATTGTCGCACCCGATTGGGAATCTGTAACCCTGTTTCTCTGTCCACAGATGCTGCAGACATGCTGAGTTTCTCCAGTACTTTCAGCCTTTTTGCTTAAGAGACCTTCCATGTTGGATGAGATTATAGAGACAGATAAGACCATGGAGGAAATCAAGGACAAGAATGTGAGTTCATTCATTAGCTGCTTTGTTTAATAAACTGTAAGCAATTCTGGTCTCCATGTGATAAAAATAAAATTAAAATACTTGAAGCAAGTGTTAACAACATTTACAAAAAACAGAGTAGAACACTACAGCACAGGAGCAGGCCTTTCTGCCCACCAAACCTGTGCCGACACAGGGTGCCTTTCCAAATTAAAAACCTTTTGCCCCTACATAGTCCATATCCTTCTATTCCCTGCCTATTCATGTATATGTCAAGATGCCTCTTAACTGTTGCTATTGTGTCTGCCTCCACTACCTCCTCTGACAGCACAATCCAGGCACTTACCACCCTTTGTGTAAAAAAAAACCTGCTTTTTCCTTCTCCTTTAAACTTTCCCCGTTTTTTTCTTAAATTTACGCCCACTAGTAACTGATATTTCTACCCTGGGGAAAAGACACTGAGTATCCATTCTATCCATGCCTCTCATAATTTTATAAACTTCTATCAAATCATCCATCAGCCTCTGATGTTCAAGTAAAAACAAACCAAACGTGTCCAATCTCTCCTCATAGCTGATACCCTGCAAACCAGGCAACATCGTGGTAAAGCATTTCTGTACCTCTCTAAAGCCTCCACATCTGTTCTGGCGATGTGGCAGCCAAAATAACTGAAATGATGACCAGCCGTGTAACAGAATGGGTACAATGATCAGGAAAGGCTGAACAGCCAGTAACTCTTTTCCATTGAGCTATGGAGGCTAAGGGGTGGGGGGGTGACTCGATCGGCATAATTACAATGTTGAAGGGGTTGAAAAGCCCAATGCTGGGAAGAGTCCAAACCTATTTGAATCATAAATATAAAGTAAACAGAGAAGTCAGGAGAAACTTACCCAGATTGGGGTGAGATGCCACCTTCACAGGAGATGGTTGAGGCGAATAGCGTAGATGCATTTGGGAGGAAGCTGAGTAGAAGAGAGAGAATAATAAAAGGTTATGCTGATAGGGTGGGACAAAGTACAGTAAGAAGTGGCTAATATGGATCATTTAGATACAAGTACGATTTGTGCATTTAATTTTGTCTTACTCCATGACGGAACTGTTGCTGCCAACTAGAATAGATGTGTCTACATGACAGGAGTAGCTACAAATGTCAATAAATTACTACTGGTATACAATCTGATGTACATTTTAAAATTTGTCCCATATTTTTACATACCACCAAATCACTGGCAGTATTGTCCTTCAGCCAACTCGAGTTTTTTTTTAAAGCAATGCAAGGCTGCATTTATCTGGCACCTTAAAGTATGTTAGGGCAGGTCCAAAGTGCTTTTCAGCCTAGGAATTGCCTGTCATTGTGGTAGCATAACAAACGGGGCAATTTGCACAAGGCAAGAACCCAAAGGAGCAATGTGATAATGATTGATGGACAGATTTTGCCAAGGACATGTCAAAATTGTGGGCAAGGGATCTTTTACTTCAACGCGAGAGAGAAATTAGCATCTTGAAAATTAGCAAATGGAGGATGATGTGGGAAAATGTGAAGTCATTCATTTTGGAAGGGAGAACAAAAAAACAGAGAAATTGTAGAAAGCAATACAAAAGAGCTTGGGGATATTGTACATCAAAAACAGAAAGCAAGCATACAGGGGCAGCAGATAATCAGGAAGGCTAACTTTAGCCCTTATTTCAAAGGAGTTGGAGTATAAGAGCAGGGAAGTTTTACTGCAACTATACAAGGTGCTGGTGAGATTACATCTGGAGTTCTGTGGGCAGTTTTGGTTCCCCTGTTTAAGGAAAGATATCATTTCATTGGAGGCAGTGAAGGGAACGTTCACTAGGATGATCCCTGGTATGGAGAGATAGTCTTATTAAAAATGATTAAACACATTGGGACTCAACTCACTGGAGTTTGGAAGGGGGAGAGGTGACTTAATTGAAACATATAGGATTCTTAAGTGGCTGGGCAGGGTAAATGGTGAGAGGATGTTTCCCCTCATGGGAGAGTCTAGGACCGGGATAAAGGGGCACCAATTAATGACTGAGATGAGGAGGAACAACTTCTCTCAAAGGTTGTGAGTCATTGGAACTCCTTGTCACAGAGAGCTGTGGAGGCAGAGTCCTTCTGGATATTTAAGAGTGAGATTAATGGATTCTTGGTCAGTCAGGGAGTCAAGGGTTATGGGGAAAGGTCAGGAAACTGGATGTGAGGAATGTTGGATCAGTCATGATTCTATTGAATGATGGAGCGTTAGGGTTATGCTTAGGCTCAAGGGCCCCAGTGGCCTACTCCTGTTCTGATTCCTTATGGTCTTGTTGATTATCTTAAAGTGTCATTCAAAAGATGGTATTCACCCCCATCCTGATTTGGAAATGTATCACCATTCCTTCAGTGTCATAGCTGCAAAATCCTGGAATTCTCTCCCTAATGGCAATGGAGGTCTAAATGCAGCACATGGACTGCAGCGGTTCAAGAAGGCAGCTCACCACCACCTTCTCAAGGGGCAACTAGGGATGGGCACGAAATGCTGGCCCAAGCAGCAATGCCGACATCCTATGAATACATTATAAAAAAACTTCATAGTGCAGCACTAAGTTTTGCTGCGGAAGTGTCTGCTTGGATTTGTACTAAAGACTGGCCAAAGCCCACATCAAAATTGCTACTCCCAAATCAGCAAATCTCAACGTCTACAAAACTGAGAAATGAGGCAAAAGGTATGGATTCATGGACTCAACTTCAAATCCATAACACACAAATCTATAAAGAACAATAATACTCTTAACTCTGAGGCAGAAGGTTAGAGTAAGCCCCACTTCAGAGGAATTAATGCGAAACTTGTGATTGACATGCCACAGAGCATGGAGTAGTGTCTACACTGTCAGGGGTATTGAATGTGATACAAAAATTGCAGCCGTATTTATAATCTCAAATGGTTGCTCTGGAAGATTGTGGGCCAGTATTAGTCGGAGGTCTGAGGATATTTCCCTAGTCTCCTGGACATTATTTATCCTTCAACCAAAGTCTTTAAATGAAAACAAAAATGATGTAGTCACTTAAGACTTCGCTACGTGTTGTTCCTTGCTGTGCACAAACTAAGTATAATTTTTCACACTAGTGACTGCTTCAGAAAATTACATGATGGGATATGAAGCTTTGTAGGTCATCCTGAGGTCAGGCAAAGTGCTTGATAAATGCACACTCTACTCCCGATGGGAGGAACACTTTGGCAGATTTGACGCAGAAAGACACTTGACTGAATTCACAAATTAACTATTTGAGAGTTGCTATCATTTTTGAGAGAGCCTCACCTGTCATTTCTTTCTGGTCAGCTTCCTAGGAAGCATGTTGTCCAACTTGAAACGATTCAGAAAAGGCTTACAAGGATGTAGTAATTGTCAGCCATGATTGAATGGCAGAGCAGACTCGATGGGCCGAATGGCCTAATTTCTGCTCCTATGTCTTATGGTCTTATGATGTTGCCAGGGTTGGAGAGTTTGAGCTATAGGGAGAGGTTGAATAGGCTGGGGCATTCTTTTTTTTTTCTCTAGAGAGTCGGAGGCTGAGGGCTGACTTTATAGAAGTTTACAAAATCATGAGGGAAATGGATAGGCTCATGAAGGACATGGATGGAATCATCAAGTCTTTTTCCCCAGGGAAGGGGTGTCTAAAACTAGAGGATGTAGGCTTAAGGTGAAAGAGGAAAGATTTAAAAGGGACCTGAGGGGCAACTTTTTCACACAGAGGGTGGTGTGTGTATGGAATGAGCTGCCAGAGGAAGTGGTAGAGGCTGGTACAATAACAACATTTAAAAGGCATCTGGATGGGTATATGAATAGGAAGGGTTTAGAGGGACATGGGCCAAATGCCGGCAAATGGGACTAGATTAATTTAGGATATCTGGTCGGCGTGGACAAGTTGGACTAAATGGTCTGTTTCTGTGCTGTTAAACCACTTATCAAAATTAAAAGAAAGACCTTTGAGGTATATCAAAGTGAAATACTGCGGACATTGGGAGTCTGAAACAAAAACAGAAAAATGTTGGAGAAAAATCAACAAGTCTGGCACAGCATCTGAGGGCAGAGAAATGATTAACATTTCAAGTCCAACACGACTATTATTCAGAACTGGCATTCAGTTCTGCAGAAGAGACTTGCTGAGTTTCTCCAACACGTCCTGGTTTTATTTCTGAAGAGGAATTTTTGACTCTATCTGCGGAGTTTCTCCAGCACTTTCTGTAAGAGCTTGAAGCAGACAAGGCTGGCTCTGGATATACAGTCAAGTCATCTTTTCCCATCAACATTTCTTATGTTGCCATTCATCACAAGGTCTGCGCTGCCCGCTTTGACAGGACTATTTCTTCAGCGAGGGTGCTACAGTACTATCACTGGTGGAAGGCATAATTACAGCGTGACATTCTCGCATACCATCTTATGAAGGGTTGTGAACAGGCATTTATTAAACAAATATGAACAACAAAATGTTGCAGATTTTAAAATACGGATTCAATTACATTTGTGAAACCTTCTCCATTTAAACCCCGCTAAGAACCCTACTTGATCTCAAAATTATATTTGACCTTGACACCCCAGTGCAGTAACAATAACGTATAATATATATATATACACACACACACACTCAAATGCACAAGCTTGCTGATATGAATCAAACTGGTGAAGTATGAAGGGCTGTCATTATAGGACTCCTGCTCTAGTTTCTAACTTCACAGCAGAAGTATGTTTGTGTTATTCCTGTGATTATGATTTAAGTCCTTGATACACTGCATACATCATTATTGCTGTCAACAATAGTCGTGCCTGAATTTTTTTGGAGGTTGTGGAGGGAGGGGACAGGCTGTGGGAGTGGGACGTAGGTGGTTATTGACCTGCAAATCAATTGCGAAGATGAGGATTCTCTGAAAATAGGTGGCTCTTATGCCCTTCAATCTACCATCGAGAATACAGATGCATCTTGTTGATGCCAGATGTACATTTTTTTAAGAAACAAATGCATGATATTTTTCTGAACAAGTATTCAGTAACTTAAGCTTTGTGTTTTCTGAAGCAAAGCTTACAGGCAGCTGATCAGGAGAGCTTATTCGTGCATCAGATGCATGGTTCGGAGCATTATATGGAATGTGGAGTTATGGCGATGAGGTGGCAGGGTTGGGTCAGCGTGGGATGCTATTCAGAGGGTCAGTGCAGACTCAATGGGCCTAATGGCCTCTTTCTGCACTGTAGGGATTATATAATTTTATGAATTAAAACAGGATTTACCCCACAGAAACAGGCTATTCAGCCCAACTGCTCTATGCTGGTATTTATGTTCAACACGAGCCTCTTCCGCGCATCTACAGGCCTTATCTTGGATAAGTTCACTGGCCGCCACGTATGTTCAAAGAAGCATTACATTGCTACTTCACACAGCGGTCCTTTCCTCAACAAAACATCCTTCACTTACACTTTTAGGGAAACGTATATTTCATTGTGGGTCCTTACTTCTTGCATAGTTAAAGTGCTGGTTTAGAAGAAATTGACAGAAATCTGACCCATGCTCTCATATGTTTATCCGGCTTTCACTTCAAAGTATTTAGGATTGTCTAATAGAAGTTATCCCAACATAGGCAGCACAGTGGCTCAGTGGTTAGCACTGCTGCCTCACAGTGCCAGGAACCCGGGTTTGAATTTGCCTTCAGGTGACTGTGTGGGGTTTGCACATTCTCCTTGTGTCTGTATGGGTTTCCTCCGGGTGCTCTGGTTTCCTCCTACAATCCAAAGATGTGCAGGTTAGGGTGGATTGACCATGCTAAATTGCTCATAGTGTCCAGGGATGTGCAAACTAGGTGGGTTAGCCATGGGAAAATGCAGGGTTACATGGATGGTGTTGGGGGTGGGGGTGCTTTGGTTGGTCTAGGTAGGATGCTCTTCAGAGAGTTGGTGTGAACTTGATGGGCCGAATGGCCTGTTT